ATATATCATACTACATGCCCTCAGTCCGTTTATTCTCCTGCTGTCCTAAAAGATTATATTGCACCGTTTCATCTCTTCAAAACCCCAGGACATCCTTCCTTTTCTTCAGTTTCAATCAGTGAACATATTTTCTATTTCATAGAGAAAACTTAAAACAATCAGAGGAGAATTTCTACAAACTCACATCATTCTATCTATCCAATCTGCAGCATCTGTAACCACATACTCTTTTCCTCTCTCTCTATTACCATAGAATCCTGCTCTTCTGTAAACTATCCTTGCTACTATCTAAAGTCAAAATCTCCACTTGTGCATAGATCACATTTCTTCTTTTCTACTCAACAGTAATAGTCTGCTAGTTCTCCCCACCACCTCCTTAGCAGCTGTTGTCCTCTACCACATCATATCCACCACCATGAAGCCAACCTGTTATTTCCCATGTCTTAAAAGTTTCCTTCTCTTAACCTTGCTTCCCTGCCAGCTACTTTTCCGTTTATTTCTTCTTCTTCTTAGTAAAATGTATCGAAATGGTTTTCTTACTTGCTGTTTCTATTTCCTTTCCACTCAGTCCATCTTAAACCACCTCCAGGAAGACTTTCCCCGCTACTCCACCTTGACAAAGTTTTCTTGTTGATCTTGCCAAGGACCTCCACATTGCTAAATCCAATGGTTAGTTCTCAGGCATCATTTTACTAAATCTATCAGCTAAATTGGAAATAGCTGACAGCTTTTACTTCCTTAACATACTTTATTCACTCGGTTTCCAATATCACAGTTTCTTGGTTTTCCTTCTACTTCACATGTAACTCCTTCTCATTCTCCTTTGTGATATTCTGCCCCTGAGAACCCCCTATGATTAAAGCGGGTGAATGGGAATTCACTGGGTTAGGGATTAGCCTGTCAGTAGAGATCTAGTCTCAGAGGGCTACTACTGAATGATGCAAGTCCATGCCTTGTCACAGCTGTTCAAATGACCCTCTGCCCTCTTATAGCCCAAAAAGAGAACATTGGATCCATGATGTATCTTCTGAGAAACTGAATGAAAACAAGTTCTACTTTGATCTCAACATACAATCCATGGGATTCAAAAAGGGACCTGAATGATTCAGTAAATTCTCTGCTTGGTTACCTCCTCAGCAATTCTTCTTAA